GCTGAGCTGGGGGTGTCCAGCCCCCCTGGCCCCGCAGCCTTTCCCGGCACCGGGGAGGTCAGCAGGGATAAATGAGCCTTAACGGGAAAAAAATGTGGGAAGGGATAAAATTCACAGGCCAGCTGAGAAAGCAGGTTGAGGAGAGGGGAGCTGGCTTTGGGACAGGCAGGGGAGGTGCAGCGTTCCATTCTCTGCTCCCAGGTGCTCCTGGAGTGGCAGGGACACCCTGGTGCATCCAAAGGTTTCACTTTTCAGAATTTCTTGCTCTGTTTGTTAGAGCTGCTGTCCTGTGCACACATTCCCGAAGTTTGGGCTGGCAGCAGGTTGTCTTTGCGGAGAACATGGAATGGTTTGAGTGGGACTTTAAATCTCATCTCAACCCATCTCCTGCCATGGCAGGGACACCTTCCCCTATCCCAGGCTGCTCCAAGCCCCATCCAGCCTGGCCTTGGACACTTCCAGGGACCCAGGGGCAGCCACAGCTTCTCTGTGCCAGGATTTGTTCTCAGATGTGTATTTAAATTGCCCCAGACTCACATTCTTGTTCCCAAGTCCCCATCCCAAGGACGTTCCTTACTCAGCTCAGGGTGGGCATTGCTCATTGATATTAATACACATTTATAATTACCTGTACCTTTCTTAGCACACATTTACACACCAAACTCCTGGCATATCTTGCTGGGACAAGGATTTGACCAGGGAAAAGATCTCAGAAGAAATGAAGGGGTGCAGATACAGCTGCCAAAAGCCCAAGCTCTGCATCCAGCCTGGACACCTGGTTGGAAGCCACCTCCTTCTCCAGCTGCTGCCCCATTCCAGTGCCAGTTCTGGTGTGGGCAACACCTGCAGCCTGACTGGGGAGTGGAAAGTGGCTATCCCAACTTCCAAAGTCTGATAGCTGTAATCTGAATTGTAGGTGTTACTCCATCCTTGTGTTATTCCATCCCTCCCTGGATCTCCATCAGCAGTGGCCTCTGGTGTGGTTTTGTTTTGTTTCCTACAGGAATGTCCAGGTGCTCCTGCCTGTGGGACAATGTCCAGCCTGCTGCCCATCCTCTGGAATGTCATTGCACAGGATGATGGTTCACTGTCCATGGCAGGAGGGCTGGAACTAGATGTTGTGTCAGGTGCCTTCAAACCCAAAGCCTTCCATGATCCCTTGTGGCAAGAAATGGACGGAGAACCGGGCAGGGGAAAGAAATTTGGGGTTGTCTCTTGCTCCTAGGCAGCATCAGCCCCACCTCTGCAGGTTTAATTCTCCTTACAAAGAGAAATTAATCAAATTTTATGAACATGTTCATAATCAGAAGAGCATAAGCTCATGGTTTCGAGGTGACTGGCAGGTCCTGGCCAGCATTGATGGAAGCCAGCTGAGGGCATGGAGTGTGAACCTTTATCTCTGCTGACATGACATATTATTAAAAAGTATTTCGAGTAATCTTTGATTTCCTCAGCATTGCAACACATTTCAAGAACTTGGCCGGGGATCAACTGAGCCTTTTTAATTTCCTACACTGAAAAATAAAACAAAAACCAAGCCCGATTGAGATGATATAATCAGGAACATTTTGAGGGTTTAGGTCAAATTAATGTGTCAGAGAAGGGTTTTCAGGGGACTTGGGGAGCTTTAATCTGTCAAAGGCTGACTCAGAGCCTGCTTGGGCTTTGTAATCTTATTGTCTTTATGGAATTATGGGATGGAATGTCCTGAATTACCATCATCAGAGAGTCTAGCAAATAATCAGTTGGCATAAAGTTCAGAATAACTAAGTTAATTTTAAAGCAAGTGTTGCACAATATGCCAGAAATGTTTGCTTAACTTGGAAATGATCTTTTAATGCTGTCCCTTAATGTGTGAAAGCACTCAGGTAACCTCCAACCCCAGCCTTGTCCAGCCACTTTTGGGGCAGATTTTAGGAGATGGAACTCTTTTCAAGCCGTGCTCAATTTTGCCAAGATTTGTTTTGCATTTACCAAAACAAAAGAAAAAAAAAAACAAACAAAGCAAACCAAATCTGCTTTTTGGCTTAGGGGGGGTAATATTTTAATATCACCTGAACTCAATTATGCATCTAATACTTGTCTCTTTTATATCTCTAT